TACTCGCAGTCAGTGACGCTTCTGTTTGGACCGGAAGAAGTACCAAGCGATGTCGTTTCACACAGTTTGTTGTTGGTTTTATTTATATCTACAAGCGTGATGCATAGGAGTGAGATGTTATGCGCAAATATATTGTGCATGTCTAGTTGAGCCGTAGAAAGATTAGAGTACAGTTCGGATTGATCAGCATGCTTACACAGCTAATTGTCATCTACTTTTGTTATATCCAAAGCTTTGATTTCTGCTATGCCGCTTATTAATAGACTACTTGAACGATCGAACCCACAACGTCGCAAGAGAGAAGACAGAAGACTAGTAAGTAGGAATGTATTTTCCAATACTGTGTCAAATATAGTAGAAAAACCTCATGTATTTGTAGTTATTGACTGAAAGCAAATCATCATTTGGGAGAGCCAACAGGCACACAGGGGGTACTTCTTATTTATCCAATAGGGAAGCTATACATCGGCATATTGGAATATTCCTCTAGCGGTTATTGAATGAAACGTCTTCAGCTCATTCTGGGCTTCTTGAGGCTTCCTTGAGTTCGCCAACGAGCCATCCTTACATTTTAGTGGCCGATTTAGATCATTTTCAGTTGCTGTGTGCATTAGAGATCACATGTTTTTTAGATGACCTGGACATAGTTTAAAGATGTGTAAATGTTGTAGTGCCGCGATTCGTTAATCGTTCGTTTCGATAATCGATCTAATTCTAATCTTAACGGCGCGTAAAATCAGAAGACAAAGGATAGCAGCAACAACAGTTTAGTGGAGATGGCTGGGAAGCCAAATCGAAAGCGAGGCGAAAGATGATGCGTATTGGAGATGGCTGGGAAGCCAAGTCAATTTAAACAAGCGTTAATCAACATTTATAGTCGGACAAAAATGAATGACAGACATGTGATAGGTAGGATAAGAAGGGTACATACACATGCGCTCATATAACAAGGTAGTCAAGGTTAGTAAGCGAATAATAAACAAGATCAAAATATGACTCATAATGGATAAGCGAATTGGCTTGGCCAGCAACTAGAATAAAGTATATGGGCTTAATATATAAACTGATACTACAATGTAAATAATATTTTCATTTACTGAACAAAGACCGTTAGAGCTTGAATAACGTGATGACAATTTCTCAAAGGTAGGAGTAAATACAATATTCGTTATGAGGTACTATATGTGCGTTAATAAAGGAAAAGAACAGTGTTGCGCAAAGCCTAACAGACTAAGTCAAACGCAATGATGAAGCGTCAAATAATTGAAAACACTATAAATATGGTATTGTCTGCCAACAAATACTGTCGTTTTCAAATGAAAAACTAAAAGGAAAAGCCACGTGAAAAATTACAGACTTCAAGGGTCGTGGCGAAATTATGATAATTAGTGTAACTTCACAAACTTAGTAAACCAGATCATTCATAACTCAAAATGAGTCTCGAAATTACATTAGATTTCCAAAAGGCAAACCCTTATTTCCTCTACCGTTATAATAACCAATCATTTACAAGTAACACTACAAAGGTTTGATTTGATAATTTTGGATTATTTGGACATTGGCACTTCTGTTAATAATAAAGGTAATATAGTTGTAATGCCTTAATCAGTAGAGTTAAACTTTTGACTTTTTATGGCTTAGTGTGAACAACATAATATGTATATTGACATATATTGATAATCTATCAGTAGTCAGTGTGAGTGGCGATGATACTCCACCAATTATATACTGCTTGGTAGAATCCGGTATCGCATTTTGCACCGGTGAAAATGATCTTGGCTCCAATGATTTGCATAATTCAGGTGTCTCTTTCCACTGACATTCTGGAGTCAGGAAAGTATACTGGCTTTTAGGCAATTATTCTCCATTTATCTTTGTGAAATTAGTGCATTGATAACCATGAGGAACGTTTAGGCCATCAAGAAAATATTTTGTGATCCTAAAACGATTTAAAATAAAAAGCAACATTTATATTTGGCAGACATTTTGAACACAAGGAATAAATATATACGAATTATTAGGCTTTTCATCACAAGCTCACATAATCTAAATTGCAAAGATGAAGTTCAAGCGGAAACTTGATTGGTTCAAACATGCAGTAAGATTGTCTAATACCTCGAGGTGTATAGTTGGTGTCTCTATAGGAAGCCCACTGGCGACATCGAGTATGACAAACGTCTGCTGGAAGGATTAACTCGCTCTACGCGTCTCGGATTCTCTCAAATCCTGATTCTAGGGGACTTCAATCTTCCTAGAATCAACTTCGTGGAACATACATACATTGGAGGTGACAACTCTACTGAAGCTCTGTTCTTCAACCTCATCGGTGACCTGGGATTATTCAAACATGTGAAGTCGGCAACTCGTTAGAGAAACAGTCAGACGCCGTCGCGCTTAGACTGGGTATTCACAAATGAAGAACTCCTAGTTGATGACCTCTCAATCCTGGCTCCCCTGGGGAAAAGTGATCACGCCGTCCTATCATTCAGCTTTGTCAGCAAAACGGAGCTAAGATATCCTACTAGCAACAAGCGCTGGAACTTCAAACGGTTGAATGTGTTAGCTTTACAGGACTATCTACAACAGGTGGATTGGGATGTTCACCCTCAACTTGAAGTGGGTGCTCATTAGGATGTTTTATTGCATACGATCTGACGTGCTACAGAGCATTCAGTTCCTCAAATGGTCCCAAAAAGCTACAAACAACCTCCAATCATCAAGAACCTCACTCGTCGTTTGCTAAGCCGCAAAAGGCACTGTTGGGCCGAATATAAACGAACCGACAATAACGACGCATACAGGCAATATAAAAGCATGAGGAACATATGTTCAAAGGCAATAAAAGAAGACAGGCTTCAGTTCCAGACCAAGCTCATCGATAAATTTGTCTCCAATCCGAAAAGATTATTCAACTACGCAGCTTCTCTTCGACAAGACAAAACTGGAGTTTCCTAACTGCTTGGTCCTATTGGCCCGACCAATAACGATGGTGATGCCGCTAATTTTTTGGCTGAACAATACTCCCAGACATTCCAACTGACCCACATCAACTATACTGACGATAGCTGCACCTGCACCTGTACAGGATTTTCCGAAGTGGGCATGAGTGCTGACCTGGTGCTCCGTAAACTGCAGCACCTAAGAAAGGACACTTCTCCCGGTCCGGATATGGTTCATTCCGCTGTATTGAGGGAAGCAGCTTCAATCCTGGCGACACCACTTAGAGTGATGTTTGCACACTCGCTAAGCAGAGGCAAACTACCGGAAATTTGGAAGCTGGCCCACATCACATCAATTTTCAAAGGAGGTTGACACAGTGAACCCTCAAGCTACCGACCAGTGGCCCTTCTCTCCATACCTTCCACAATTATGGAATCCCTAATATACGACGGTATACAAGAATACTTATCATCCTTAAAGTTCTTCTCACCTCAACAACATGGTTTGAGAAAAGGTCATTCTTGTATGACCAACCTGCTGACTACGGTGGATAGATGGACAAACATCCTTGATCGCAAGGGGAAGGTTGACGTCATCTACCTGGATTTCTCAAAAGCTTTTGATAGGGTCAACCACGCATGTCTTATCAAGAAGCTTGGACTATTGGGTATAAAACCCCCTTTGATTGACTGGCTCTCTTCATATTTAGAAAACCGACACTTTAAGGTCAGGATTAACTTCACTCTCTCTCACGCTATGGAATGTCCTAGTGGGGTCCCCCAGGGCTCGATACTAGGACCTCTTCTCTTCTTGATTTACATTAACGATCTTCCTCAACAAGTTTCATCTGACTTATTGATGATGATGTGAAACTTTGGAGAGAGATACGTAATCATAATGATATATTAGTTCTTCAGGAGGATCTGACCCGACTTCAAAGTTGGGCAGAAGACAACGGACTTACCTTCAACACTTCAAAGTGCAAAGTAGTCCATCTGAGACATGTTGCAGACTATAGTTATAACTTAGGTAACTTCCCTCTAGAAGTTTCCCAAGTCGAAAAAGATTTAGGAGTGTTGGTACCCTATGACCTGAAATCGTATGCGAACTGTGACAAAAACGCCTCTCAAGCTGACCTTGCACTGGTAACATTGAAGCGCATTTTTGGCCAGTTTGACGGTAGAACCTTCCATATAATCTTTAACAGTTTTATTCGTCCCCGTTTAGAGTACGAAAACACAGTAATCCCTCCCTCTCCCCAGAGGATAAGGACGCTCTGGAACTTATACAACGTCGAGCCACGAAATCAGTTCGGGGACTCAAATTCAAACCTTATGAAGAGCGCCTCAAATCACTTAACCTTTACCCGTTAGAGTATAGGCGTCTTAGAGGTGACTTTCTTATGACTTACAGTATCCTTAATACTTCTGATCATCCCCTTAAACATCTTCTTAAGCTTAGTCATAACGCTAACCTAAGAGGTAACACCCAGAAATTGGAGGCCTTACATAGCAGAACAGACTGCAGACACAACTTCTACTCCGTTAGAGTTGTCAAGTGCTGGAATTCGCTGCCGACTGAGCTAGTCCAAGAGACCTCCCAGGAGTCCTTTAAGAGGAAACTTGACTTATTCTTAAGGACTAAGGATAACATAATATTATGACTTACCAAATTCCTTTTTCTCCTCCATTATCGTTCATATACCTAGGTTTTTGCCTGGAGGTATTGGTGATCCACTGCTACTAGACACGGAAGCCCGTTAAGCGAAAGCTTCATCTATTCCATCCTCAACCATTTGGAACCAAGAATTGATTACTCGGCGTGAAAACCTATACGTCATGGGTATTCTGTTCTTTTATTTCGTCCTCAACCATTTGAACCATTTATGCACTTCACTCTTGGTATCACTTCATTTGTTAGCCTAATTGTTTACTTCAATTACGGAAAAAATATAGGAGTGATAAAAACCCCCCTTTTAAGGAATAGCGCTCTTCCAAAGAACAGACAGCTTGTTAGTTCTGTCAAGAAATGTTTAAGTCCACGACAGAACTTTAGAGGTTGATTTGTACCGGTCAAGGTCGTTCAGGTCATCGATACAGTTCTTCACTGCAATTTTCTCTTCAAAAATGATTTAGTGACTTATAGGATTTCAGTGATTGAAATTCAACAACAGAGTTGTGAGACGCATTTTTTTTTACCGATCGTCATCGTCACGTCCAAGCTTTCTATGCAGTAACAAGAGGGTTGCAAAACGGTGTGGAGAAATAGAATTATGATTTAGAGTTGGTTAGGGTGAGGAATTAGATCTAGGTTTTCCATCACGAACTGTCTTCATCTCAAATGCCAAAACGCTATTCAATTAAATAGATTAATGTATATCACGAAAAATATACATACGTCTTGTTATCTTATGTCTAATTGGTTCGTCCATAAATTATAGTCTCGCCGCATTAAGTAAGCTATTCACAAGCTAGGTCTAACAAGAGCGATGTTCTATACGGCCACGGGAAAGTAGATATTTTCAAAATCATGTTATTTTACTCCCGTCTTTCTAAGCCCTTCCTCTGTCTTTCAGAGATTAAAAATATCGTTCTTCACGTTTGCTATATCATTTACTGTCCCTTAGTACTGGGGAAATTTAAGGAGAAATGTTTTGCGTTTTTAGAAGCGCCGATATTTTGTTAGGTTCAGGAATAGGAAAGATTTTTGTTGGCAAAAGGCACTTCCGTGTACTGGTTAGTTTAATAAACCGGTAAAAATCCCATAAATCACCGATTTATTTCCCATTTGAGCCTCATCACAGGAATTCCAGTCATAAAGAACTTGTATCACAGTTTCTCAAACTGCTCATTCAAAGAAAAATACTGGAGATACTGCACTGGACATAATAAAAAACAAAATTGACAGTATTATCAGCATAACATCCACGATTCAGAAAAAGCTACAGTTCTTTGTGGTCTCCTTTTACCTACTACATGGACCTATAAAAGCTGACTTTTGAGCTCCCATGGGATCTAAAGGAATAGACTACTCATGGAATGGTCCTAAGGGAAGTGATTTTAGGGCATTTGTTTTCGAATGCCTGTAACCTACGAATATATCCAGTCCTCAAAGACTACATTTTGCAGCCATAAATTAGCATATAACAAACTGCTGCCCAGTAAATTTTTTTAGTTTTTCGTGTTTTCTAATTTAAAACTCGATATTGAATTCAAAAAGATTTTCTTACGGACTTTAGTGTTTTGGATGCCTTAACAGGTGTTATAAAACACTCAAAGTATATTGCAACTTGCACTTGACATTTAGAAGTTGACTCCAGAATCTACAGCATCCAGCTTGTCAATCGGGATATAAATAAAGCATGTTCCTAGTTGATTTTGTCGTTTCTCTCTGAAAAGATAGTTTTAATGCTCTGCGTGAGTAATTTATTGAAAATTCCTTCATATCAAAGTAAATCAGTTTAAATGGAATTAAAGATTTAGGGAGTATTTGGGACTATCATGTTAGTGAGTAAAGACTGTTGTTAGATGGTATTTAAAATCAGCTAATATATCTTCGTCATTGTGCTGGATATTGTGATTTTTGTTTGTTATGTGATCAGAAGAATTGTTTCAACGCTTATCACGCAGCTGCTTCAAGCGTTTGTGAAGAACACTTCTCATCTTGCTCTTTCGTTTAGTACCCGTACTTTTTCTATCTTTTTCGATTTCTACATTTAACGACTTACAACTTTGGGCTCTATCTAAATTATTTGACTAATCTAAACGATCCCACCATAATCAGCAAAGCGAATTAATGTAAAAGGCTTTAGGTCACTATAGTGTGGTAGAATATATTTTACTTTCTCCTTGTAGTTCTCAAACTTACTTCTTTTTGTTGTTTTCATAATAGGATGGATGTTCATTGTGAGATGAATCAAGAAGGCGATTCTAATTATCAGAATTCATACTCTAAAGAAGTTGAGGAAGCGCTTTCCCGGCTTAATTTAAAATCGGACAGTTTAGACGATCCTGATTTTAATGTTATTTCTTATATTAATGAGGTTAACTTACTACAAAATGCTTATAACATATTTTTTAGAGATTTCCCAGCGAACAGTCACTGGCAAATATAGATGAGTTGATAGCTGAAGGAGAAGAAAAAATTCGCGAACTAGACGATGAAACTAGAGACCTACTACGTGGTCGCTGGCAAACAGAGGATAAAGGACAAGAGATTGTTCAGGATGCAAAGGATATGATAAAAGTACTATTCTCTAGGTCGGTTTGTATTTATGTTGGTGTGTCACTTGCAGATAAATGCATCATTTAAGTAAATGCTTTCATAATTACTAACTCATTTACCAAGTGGTAGTTTGCGTACCATACTTTGGACTGCGTAGTGTGAATACAAGTGATACTACTCGCCTCAAGCATCCAAACTAATGACTCAAAGCTAAGTGTTAAGGCTACTGATCCATCACTGTCATGATATTCAACGTTTAATTTCCCCCTCGATGTTCTATACGTCAATTCATCGTTCTTTCACTTATATTCATATAAGGGGCTTTTATGAATATTATACCATCCATTTACCTCGTCATGACTTTATTAATTAGTATTACTCGACGTTTTATCGAGAAATTCACAGAATTAGGTAGTTTGTGTATATGAAATAACTTATTTGGTATGTTGAGCTGTTCTGAATACGTGAAGAAGAATGATTTAAAGCCATAGTTACCTGAATCAGGTAAAACCCATGTTTTCAGGTAATATTGGTACGACAAAAACTTGATACCTCAGCGTTGTCATTGGGTGACTCGTTTTGCATGCAAGTTTGTTCTATCTTCTTAATAAGCTCCCGGTTCCATCTACATTTCATATGAAATGCATCTAGGATTGTACATATCATGAAACAGACCCTAAGTAATATATATATATATATATATATATATATATATATACAGGGTATTAGGGAATGATGGTAAATCAGTTGATGAGGTTGTGAATTTTCATCGACTGAGATGGTTGGGCCACGTGTTACGTATGCCTGAACACCGATTACCACGACGCACTATACTGACTAGTGTAGGAGATGGTTGGAAGAGAGTTAGGGGTGGCCAAACCAAAACGCGGCATCAGTGCTTAAAGTCACTAACTTCTCGTCTGAACCATGTTGGTAGATGCAGACTACCTGGTTGGGGTCCGCGTGTCTATCGTAACCAATGGTTGGAGACTGTGTAACATGACTCAATCGATCACAATGACGTAGGTGTATACACTCTTTATCTTCCCTTAAACCTTGCGATTAAAGTTGCTTCATATCTGTCTTCCTTCCCATACTATATCCTTATATACAACCTTTCCTTATATACTACCACCACTAAATTAATTACTTCTATGAATCCTGTGTTCATCTTGTTGTACTAACGAGGTTTGGCAACTTGAACCGATGCATAAATGTGCCTGGTCCTACGTTGTAGCTGACTGACTGACTGAAATCATATTATACTTCTTATCAAAACTAGTTTAGCTTCCTTAAGTAGTAATATACTCAGCCAGTATTTGTCAAACAGCGATTTTCGTCGAAAGCTGGCATAAGCTGGTTACTTTCGGGACACAACTATCTAGGGGTTACGCTAGACCTGAATTTACCATAGTTTTATCTGTTTACTTGCAACACTTCAGGTTTGAGGGAACTCCATAGCAAGCTTTCCAGTTGAGCGGTGATAAAATAGATATATAATTCTCTTCTACTCATGTAATCATCGATTTGCGTAGGTATGGTGTGTGATTTCTTATTAATTATGTTTATTATAAACTAATTTCGTATCTAAGTATTTTGCATATATTCACCAGGAGTTCTACGTGATTGCTCTCAAAGTCCGATGTGTTTTATTGGTCATAGTAATGGTGGAGGGAATTTAGTCAGTTTACAAACCTAGTTTGGTTGGTTCGTATAGTTTTCCATATTGAACACTATTAGTTGGCAAAATGAATGTTTCAAACAAGCAGAAAATAGATTGTCTAATAGTATCATAGCGTGGAATAAACAATAATCATTTCACCACTTTAGTTGTAGTCTTTGTCTTCACATCTTTGCGAAGTTTTCATGAGTTATGTGATTCATCTCTAAATGTTAAGGTTGTTTTAAACAAGGTACTGAACTAACGTAATCTTGTGTAGTACAGTGAGTATCCCAGCTGTTAACTCTAGTGGTTATCCGCCATATGGTACTATATGAATTTACTCTATATGGTAAAATTGGTTCTTTTGGTTTTAAACCGAATGCCAATAACTTTATATTTACCGAGTGTCAGACACATCTTCAGCATCATTATTTTTGCTAATATGTTTACCAATATGCTGACGATGTATCATGACAATTCTAATTTTCAGCTTTTTATAACTCATTTTCAAGTTTTTATTGGGGTTGTTGTGATTAAATGACCTAACGTTCTGCGCTTAATCATTGAAGCCACAAATCATAAAGTCTTTTATGTTCTGGTATGTTGTTACTCTGAAATGTTTTGAAAGTTGAATATATATATATATATATATATATCATTATCTCTTGTGTAATTTTATCCTTCGTTTCTTAGTTATTACTATTTAAAAAATCTGTCTTGAAACTAATCAAAATGTGGTTTCATTCATTATTACTTTATTTTGATAACTTAATAGAAAAAAGGACAGAATAATAATGTTATCGCTAATATTACTGCCACTTTTTATTGTTCTACTCTATTTGTCTTTAAGCAGAATTTTCAGTAAAGTCATTGTGCACTTCATCTTATAGAATACAGGATGTTCAAGATCGAGCTACTAGATCAGAAGAAATGGTACAAGACATCACTCGTGATATACAGCAACTTGATCAAGCTAAGCGTAACCTAACTGTTTCCATAACTGCCCTCAATAATTTAATTCTTATCGTGAACGCCATTGATCGTTTGAATGAATTGCTCGGAATACAAAGTTCAGTGAATGATCCAATGTCTTTTGCAAGGGGCAACAACACAAATGTCAGTGCACAGAATCCATTTTTAGAAGCCGACTCTGGTAATTTTGTTACACTTCCATTTCACTAATTATTCTGACAGGAATATTGTTTTCTCGTTGTATATATATATATATATATATATATATATATATATATATATCGGTTCTAGTTGCCATACCCCATTAGCACCGTACCAGTATTAGTGGTAATAGAAAAAATTAAGCACCGAAGATACAGTCCAAGAAAATGTAAATTAGTGAAATACAAAAATTATGGGGAATTCAGCAGCTTACAAGTTGTGATAAGACAAAGAGTGGATGAACCTGCGGTATTGCACACGCTTTTGAGACATGTCGTTCGAAGTCTCTAATCACGGGTTGTAATAATCACGCGGAGCCCAGTCAGATAGTTTATACCCGTTATCATGGCTCAGTCAAAGCTTCGACCGTTGCTGCTACCTTGACGTGGTGGTCGGGCTTGCCTATCGTGATGAACCAATCGAGCTATGCTGGCTGGAACAATCGTTCCTCGAGGTCCTACCATGCCAGACAGGTCGGTTGAAGAGCGGTGAGACTAAAAGCAGCAAACCCAAGGTCCGAAGGCGAAGTAGTACTGTCGACTGTACAGAGGTGTGACGGCAGTAAGGTGTTTCCTTCAGACAACCAGCATGACAGCGATGCTGCCTTCCCACAAGGAGGGGTGGGGTTAGAAAAATTTGACACCCTTAAAATGCACACCTCGCCTTATCCCACGGATTTCCGTCTCCGGCGGTAAGGTTTTTTTTGAAGAACGGAGCTAACACAAAAACTACCCACAAAAAGGTCGTGTGTGACCGACCTCAAGCAGTTGTCCCTTGGGCACTGCGGTCACGCTCTCAGGTCATTAAGACCACTTCTAACCCAATTTCCTTTTCAGGTACCCCCAGGAGAACCCTTCCACGGTGTGGGCAACCGGGAAGTGATAACTGCCCTCATACCCCTAACAGCACTCAAGACCACCGTATTCATAATCAATCTTCTTCAATTCCTACTATTCCTTCTACCTTGACTTTCAGCACTAAACTTCCTGTTCCGGTTTCCTCCTCAAGTGTCACCATGGCCAACGATTCTAGTGCGCGAAACGCTGTCCCAGGTCTACTTAAACCTCGCTCCAAACTACACATTGGAGCCTTCAACGTACGTACCCTATGCCAAATCGGTCAACAGGCCTCCTTAGCTAAAACCCTAGAATCTCGTACCATTGATGTATGCTGTGTCTCCGAAACACGCATACAGGATCCCAGTGTGGTCATTCACTTGACCTCACCTCGCCAAAATGGACAGCCAACGAAATACACCCTCCGTGTATCTGGCGACCCGTTGGCTAGTTCTCGCGGACTTGCAGGTGTAGGCATAGCACTAAGTACAAGGGCAGAACAGGCACTATTAGAATGGATCCCCGTTAACAGTCGCCTGTGTGCTGTCCGGCTGAATGGCTCCGTAAGAACTCGGAAGGATAGGGACACACGTCGTTGCCTTTTCGTCGTTTCTGCCTACGCTCCCACCGACTGCAACCATGATGAAGTGAAAGATGACTTTTACAGAAAGCTCTCTGAGCTTCTTCAGAAAGCTAAGCGCTCAGACATAGTAGTCGTAGCGGGTGACTTTAATGCCCAGGTAGGCAGCTTGAATCAAACAGAAAGACATTTAGGTGGGTGTTTTAGTATTCCGGTTCAACGAACCGATAATGGTGATCGTCTGTTGCAACTATGCTCAGACAATCGTTTATTTTTAGCAAGCACTAATTTTAAACATAAGGAGAGACATCGTCTAACATGGCGACCACCTCCACCAAACCAACGATGGACTCAAATAGACCATATTGTCATCAGTCATCGTTGGAGAGGCTCAATAGAAGATTGTCGCTCGTATTGGAATACTTCTTTAGACTCTGATCACGCTTTAATACGAGCGCGCATTTGTCTGCGCCTCAATGGACGCAGGAAAAATACACTAAGAAGAACCATTAGGATTGAACTGGAGGATGAGAAAGCCAAGTGCGAATTCCAGAAACAACTAAGTTCACATCTAGGCAGTTCTGTAAACAAGACTGACACAGATGCTGCTTGGAAAGACATACGAACAGCTGTGGAAACAGCAGTTACATCTATTAGTCATTTAAACCATAGGGCTCCAAAAAACCAATGGATTTCTTCTAAGCCTATTTCACTGATGGATTCGCGTAAACTCATCCTATCAGGCTCTGAACATGACGAAGAGCGTAAAGAAATTAGATCTAGGTTAACTAAAAGTCTAAGGAACGATCGTGAGCAGTGGTGGGCAACGAAAGCAAAAGAGATGGAAAAGGCAGCGGCTGTAGGCAACACCAGGCAACTATTCAGACTAATAAAAGAAACCGGAGTTAAGAAGTCAAGTGTAAGTGAGACAATCTCGGAAAAAGACGGAACCCTTATCTGCTCTCAACCCAAACGTTTAGAACGATGGGCGGAACACTTTAAGGAGCAGTTTAGCTGGCCTTCAGCTACTGCACAACTACCCACTATTCCTAGAAAACCTGAATGGAACATTGAAGTAGGCCCCCCGACCCTACTTGAAGTTCAAAAGGCTATAGGTATTCTGAAACGAGGAAGAGCAGCTGGTTCAGATGGATTGGCTCCAGAGGTCTTTAAATATGGTGGTCCGATTTTAGCGATTAGGTTGACTAATATTCTGGCTAAAATCTGGGAGACGGGCGTAATCCCATCCGACTGGTCACAATCACTGATTGTCCCAATATATAAAAAGGGGTCAAAATCACCCTGCGATAACCATAGAGGGATTAGTCTGACCAACATAGCATCTAAAATACTAGCCTCAATAATTATCGGGCGCCTAACTAAGACTCGTGAACTGCAAACACGAGAAAATCAGGCTGGCTTCAGACCTGGTCGTGGCTGTATCGACCACATATTCACCATTCGTCAAGTCTTAGAGCACAGACACGCTTATCGGCGTCCGACAATGATAGCTTTTCTTGACTTGAAAGCAGCATTTGACTCTGTAGACCGAGAGGTTCTGTGGCAATGTCTGTCATTGAAAGGTGTACCTGAGAAGTACATAAACCTTGTGAAGGCTCTTTACTCGAACACTACCAGTCGAGTGAGAGCTTATGGCGAACTGTCATATGATTTTACAACCTCAAGTGGTGTCCGTCAAGGCTGTCCACTATCCCCATTTTTGTTTAACTTCATTATAGACCTGTTGCTGGAAATAACACTCTCGTCGACTGAATTTTCAGGAATTGATCTTCTACCAGGAGGTTCACTTATCGACTTAGAATACGCAGATGACATAGTCCTGTTTGGTGAAGACGCTGGCAAAATGCAGAGTCTTCTGTTGGAACTCAGTAATAATGCCAGGATGTTTGGGATGCGTTTCTCCCCATCCAAATGTAAATTGTTACTCCAGGACTGGCCTACGTCAACACCTGAACTAAGGATAGGGAGTGAAGTAGTCGAACGCGTTGACAACTTCACTTATCTTGGAAGTCTGATCAGCCCTAATGGGTTGGTGTCTGACGAAATCTCAGCACGGATTCGAAAAGCTCGTTTGGCTTTTGCCAACTTACGTCACCTATGGCGAAGACGAGATATCCGTCTATCAATTAAAGGACGAGTATACTGCGCAGCAGTTCGCTTTGTTCTACTTTACGGCTGCGAAACATGGCCATTAAGAGTAGAAGATACTCGTAGGTTACTAGTATTTGACCACAGATGCCTTAGAAATATTGTTCGCATCTGCTGGGATCACCGGGTAAGTAATAGTGAGATTAGACGCAGGGTATTAGGGAACGATGGTAAATCAGTTGATGAGGTGATGAATCTTCATCGACTGAGATGGTTGGGCCATGTGTTACGTATGCATGAACACCGATTACCACGACGCGCTATGATGACTAGTGTAGGGGATTGTTGGAAGAGAGTTAGGGGCGGCCAAACCAAAACATGGCATCAGTGTTTAAAGTCACTAACTTCTAGTCTGAGCCATGTTGACAGATGCAGACTACCTGGTTGGGGTCCGCGTGACTATCGTAACCAATGGTTGGAGACTGTGTGTGACATGGCTCAATCGATCACAATGGCGTAGGTGTATACACTCTTTATCTTCCTTTAAACCTTGAGACTAAAATTGCTTCATATCTCTCTTCCTTCCTGTACTATATCCTAATATACAACCTATAATTTATATACTACTACCACCACTAAATTAATTACTTCTATGAATCCGGTGTTCATCTTGTTGTGCTAACGAGGTATGGCAACTTGGACCGATGCATAAATGTGCCTGGTCCTACGTTGTAGCTGACTGACTGAAAGCTTCGATGGCTTCATGGACTGGTTCCGTGTTTTAGTTTAGCCGTCGTTAGTTCTTTTCCAGCAAACTCTTACACCAGACAACATCGCTCATCAACTTAATGGATGGTTGCGCATGCGTAACATATGTCCCGACCACTTCAATTGATGAAGATTTACTATTTCGTCAGTTGATTCGCCATCCTTACCTGATACTTTATTCCTAACCCCAGACATTGCTTACTTGGTAATCCCAAGTTGCACGAGCAATGCTTGGAAGACACCTATGATCGAATGCTAGTAACCTACGAATATCCTTTATTTTTAATGGCTATGCTTCACACCCTTGATGTAGAACGCATCGAACTGCTGCACAGTAAGCTCGTCGTTTAGTTGCCAGGAAGATATCTCCCCTACGCCACAAGTGACAGGAGTTGACAAAATCCAATCGGGCTTCCTTAATTTGTACCGAGACTTCGTCAGACACCAGCCGATCAAGACTTATGAAACACCCAGGTTAAGTAAATTAGTCGACACACTCGACTACTCCGCTCTTCATCATTGATTCAGGTGCTGACGTGGACCGATCCTAAAGCAGCATTTTACATTTGGAGGGAAGCAGTCACACCCCAAGCATCCTTGCATTGTTGCTTAAAGTGTTCAGAAGACTCTGAATCTTGCCAAAGTCTTAAGCGAACAGAGCTACATTGTCTGCATATTCAAAGTCAACAAGTGAATCTTTCAATAGAATATTAACCCTTGAAAAGTCAGACAATGAGAGCGTTATCTCTTAACGAATATCTATGTCAAAGTCAAATAAATATGGAAAAATGTTTTGATTGAAATCCTGAATTGATCAATGGTTTCTCCTACTGTCGAAGGATATTTCTTCCTGTTGGACGTGAAGATAAAGCTGAGTTAGTGGTGGTCTTAGTGACCTCAAAGAGTGACCGCAGACATAAAGGGACAACTGTCTGAGGTCGGTCGTGCTCTGCTTTTTTTGGGCAGTTTTTGATATCTTAGCTCCGCAATTTAAAAGGCTTTACTAACGGAGATGAAAATCCGTGGCGAGATGACATCGCTACAGATACTGGTTATTTGAGGGAAATCCCTTACTGCTGTCACACTCGCTACAGTCATCAATAGGACTTCGTCCTCGGACCTTAAGTTACCGCTTTTAGTCTCATCGTTCTCTAGCCGACCTGCATGGTATGGTAGACCCTGAAAAAACATGTGTTTCAGTCAATACATCTTAGTTGATTCATCATTATGGGCAAGCCTGACCATCAAATCAAGGTACCAGCTGCGGTCGGGATATTTGTATATATATGTATATATTCATGCTACAAGAAAATTCTTTATACGGAACCTTCATATAAACTCATAGGTGTTTTATGTCTAATTAGTAAACTATGTCTGCATTTCATGGATGGATCATTTCCTCCAAAGCTTAGGTGGTATTATAAACTGTTTCAGGTCCACCAATATCATTGTTAACATATTTATAGAAATGACCGTAACGTAATTTAGATAGATAGTATTTAGGTTCGCTTCCGTGAAAGAAGAGTGGGTTTAATATGGATAGATAATCTTTTTTAATTGTGAATACTTTCCTTCTATATAGAATGCTAACTGGTTCGTTTACTGGAATGAACCTGGAACTAAGGACATAGAGTATGTACCCATTCTTTGTATAACGTTGCTTAAAGATGTCAAACCTGATGTTCAGTTATCAGGTTCGCTTTCACTTCAACCATTTGTTTGTTAGTAGCTGTAGCTGTTATCTTGAAAGTAGTCATATTTGTGACGAATTTATTTATGTAGTTTCTGATCTCCAATATTTTTACGATGTAACAAGAGTCCAACCACATATTCTCATTAAAATGATTTTTTGAATTTTAAATAAGAATCCTGGATGAATGAAAACCATCCACCTGAAAAAACAAAGTTCCAAAGATTTGTACCATCCTTTTTGGCAGAAATATCAAATTTATTAGCTCAAGTTCAACGCTTATTACAACCTATGCTGTTAGCCTATGGTTCAGTGTCATCTGTGGCCGGATTATCTCGAGAACTGGATTCCATTCATTCGGTCCTTGCAGATCGTTTGACTAAGGAATTGAAACTGTTACTAGCAGTATGTAGATGTATTTCCAAATTGTTATTTTTTGTTATTTTTTAGTGAAAAAGTGTTGTAAGAATAATATAGATGTTCCCAGCTAAACCAGTTTATGTTAGAATCCATATATTTTTTAAATAAAATGCTATATAGCAAAATACATCTTTGTATACTGAAACTTTTTGATAGTCATTATGTACTGGTCGTTTTTATGGAATTATATTGTCCAGTCAATATTCTTGTAATAATGTAACACATTTACGGAGTTCAAGTTTTATGTACTCAGTTTTGATTCACATTGTTTTTATGAGGGCTGGCGATACTACATTAGTACCAAAATAGTAGTGTTGCGTGGTTAGAATATTCAAGCCGTGCTTTAACCACCGTGCCATTGCCCTATCCTCGTTCTTATACTCCTCATGAGCTTTCTGTTGTCGAAACTTGTCGAAAGGCTCATATTTTAATCGTGTACACTGTAGATTTATCGGGTTTAGACCATCTATCAAACATTCCTCTAACAATGCTCAGTGAAGGTTGATTTGTTTTAAATAAAAATACAGAATTCATACTTCCACTCAATAACTACTGTATACCTAAACAACTGAAATTAGTTCATTTTGTGCTGTACGGGTTGACTAGTGAGCTGTGTTTTTCTGATAATTCTACGACCTCATTAGATACTATTTTTTTGTAATTGGTCACATTATTGTCCTCTTGGAAAGATCAGATTTTTTACCGAATATCCGAACTCTTGTAACGAATTCCTAACTTCAGGCTGGTTATGGGTACTTTTATCTGTCATTTTTCTTTTTATACCAAAACCGGTAGAATAAGATTTTCTGCAAATTATACTTATATATCGTCGCGATAATTTAGAAAGGGGTTTACAAATCGGTATTGATTTTGAAACAGTCATACGTTTCTTAAAGTTAGCATTTTCAGTCTGGTCTACGTTTCTCATGAGTTTGACAAATAGTTCTGTGAAAGTCGCTAGTATATTTCACGTTAAATATACCTATCAGAGTCGACGGAATTCATGGAACTTTAGATGTTGACTCTCTGAAATTACCTCTTTATTTATGTGTTTTTATCAAATAACTTGATGCAGCTAAAGTCATGATTTCTTATAGTAAATGCACTTATCATCCTGCTCTTATATCGGTCAACATAAATTTATCTTTTTATCGACTTACATCTTTTTATATATGTAATCTTCTGTATTGGTAACCAGTTTACTAACTCGTTTCCCTTTGTTTTCCTAATACTAGGCTACTCGAACAGTTACAGATAACAAGGAACTGATTTTATCAGCCTGCGAACTAGTTGACTTGCTCCCTAAGAGTTTTCATCTCGATTCGGATATTGTAAATTGGTTTATCTCTCATCATCTAACTGAGTATAAGGAGCTATTCGACCCAACACAAACTACTGCTTGGTTGGATAAAATTGATCAGCGATACAACTGGTTAAGAACTAATTTGGTTCCCTTAGAACGTTTATTTATTTCAGTGTTTCCTCCCTCTTGGTTGGTGACTGAAAGGTAAGTTTAGAGAAATAGTCACCTTAGGATTAATGTAGTACTTTATCAATGGTTATCCAAATTTATTTCATTAAGTTTAGTAGCATAGGTATATGTAGGTATTATAACGATTTGTGCTCTACCATTAGAAAACTTTCACTGAAATTTTGGTAAACAACTAATTTTAATTAGGGAAACAAGGTTCTGAAAACGAAGTTCATAGCATTAGATATTGACTACATATGTTAACCCCTTTATTTAAACTTAATTTACCACCAATTCAGGATTTATTTTGCAGTTGCTTTTTGGCAGGGTCAAAAATCACTTCTGTTCTTTTTCATGACCGCTACACCAAATAACTTCCCCAACTTTGCCATTTGGAAGGCTGAAAAGTACCTTTGGTATTTTTATTAAAATTTTAATTATCATAAAACTGAATGGGGTAAGCGCCATATTGTTAGTTGCCGGTCAGTCAGTCAGTCAGCTACAACGTAGGACCAGGCACATTTATGCATCGGTTCAAGTTGCCAAACCTCGTTAGTACAACAAGATGAACACAGGATTCATAGAAGTAATTAATTTAGTGGTGGTAGTAGTATATAAATTATAGGTTGTATATTAGGATATAGTATGGGAAGGAAGACAGATATGAAGCAACTTTAATCTCAAGGTTTAAAGGAAGATAAAGAGTGTATACACCTACGCTGCCCCCAAATGCCCTGGTACGGCCGAGAGTGGGGAGAGTCACCTCTCCCTCTCGAAATGCTCTCATATGGCCAGCGAATATATAGCCTCTGCCAGGGAAGTCCTACTCACTGCCTTCTCGTGGCGGGGATGTTGTTTACGAAAGTGAGAGGACGAAAAGCGAATGTCCGGCGCTTTGACCGGCTTGGTGGACATGGAAAGTGCACCTAGGGGAGTTGGAAAACCCTGATTCCAAACCAGTGGTGTACATGGGCTCCAGTATCCTGAGGGAACAAATGGCGTACGAATCAACCGTTGATCACCGGCTACCATGGGAATGCATCTCCTGACGATGCTCCACTGCCTTGTGGATCAGACATTCAGGTCAAAGGCTCCGGGTGTGGCCCCGTGAGAAAACCACCTGCTTCAGTTCGGGCACCTGTGCAGTATCTCAGCCCTCACACAAATCGAATGAGATTTGTGCGGCGCATATTTATCTGGTGCTTCCTTGTACCAATATTTATGTGCTTAAATAAAATAAAATAAAATAAACACCTACGCTAGGTTCAAAGAGAATTGTTTGCTATATGCATGCAAGTCCGCCTCGTTATTGTTCCTATTCCCGACCGTTGCTGTTACCTTGACGTGGTGGTCGGGCTTGCCTATCATGATGAGCCAATCGAGCTATACTGACTGGAACGATCGTCCCTCAATGCCCTATCATGCCAGGCAGGTCGGTTGAAGAGCAGTAAGACTAATAGCAGCTAACCCAAGGTCCGAAGGCGAAGTAGTACTGTCGACTGTACAGAGGTGTGACGGCAGTAAGGTGTTTCCTTCAGACAACCAGCATAACAGCGATGCTGCCTTCCCACAAGGAGGGGTGGGGTTAGAAAAATTTGACACCCTTAAAATGCACACCTCTCCTTATCCCACGGTTATCCGTCTCCGGCTGTAAGGTCCTTTGAAGAACGGAGCTAACACAAAAACTACCCATAAAAAGGTCGATTTAAGTCCCATAGTGGTAGAGGTAGTAAGAGTATAAGCAGTAATCCGAAAGATGAGGGTTTGATGATGTTATTCAAGGATTACAATCCAGTGAAATAAATTTGGAAAGAGAAAAAAGGGACATGAATAATTCAGAAGATTGGAATTTGGGAGAACACAATTAGTGGATGCACCTGCGTCATTGCAAACGATTTTGAGCCATGTTATCCAAGGTCTCTGACCATCGGTTGCTATCGTCTCGCGCATCCCAATCAGGAAGTCTACACCTACCAACATAGCTCAGTCCACTTGTCAGTGCCTTCGTAGATTTGTGCCACGTTTTGGTCTGGCCGCTCATAGCTTTCTTCCAACCTACTCCTACACCATAAAGCATTGCACGTCGGGGCAGTCGGTGGTTGGGCATACTTAACACGTGTCCCAGCCATCTCAACTGATGAAGTTTCACTACTTCATCAGTCGATTCGCCATCCTTACCCATTACTCGTTTCTTAACAACTTCATTACTTACTCGGTGGTCCCAGAATATACGAGCAATGCTTCGAAGACACCTATGATCGAATACTAGTAGCCTACGAATATCCTCTACTCTTATCGGCCATGTTTCACTGCCATAAAGTAGGACGGAGCGAACTGCTGCAAAGTAAACCCGTCCTTTGGTTGCTAGACGGATATCTCACCTACGCCATAAATGACGCAAGTTGACGAAAGCTAGACGAGCCTTCTGTATCCGTGCTGAGATTTTGTCACACCAGACCACAAGGGATGATGGGACTCCCAATATAAGTGAAGCCGTCTACAGACTCAACTGCTTCACTCCCTATCATTAGTTCGGGTGTCGATGCAACTCAATCCTGAAGTAACACTGCATTTCGAGGGGGAGAACCGCATCCCGAACATGCCTGCATTGTTGCATATAGTGGTCAGAAGACTCTGCATTTTGTCAGCGTCTTCACCAAATAGAACTATATTATCGGCATACTCTAAGTCAACAAGTAAGTCTTGTGGTAGAAGATCAACTTCTTTAAATTTGGATAAGGAAAGTGTTATTTCTAAAAGCACGTCTACGATAAAGTTAAACAAGAATGGGGAGAGTGGACAGCCCTGATGAACACCACTTGAGGTAATCAATTCTGATGACAGTTCGCCATAAGCTCACAATCGACCAGTTGTGTTTGAGTAGAGAGCCTTTACCAGGTTAATGTACTTCTTTGGTTCTCCTTTCACTGACAAACACTGCCATAGAACCTCAAGATCAACAGAGTCAAATGCCGCCTTGAGGTCGAGAAATACTACTATGGTGGGGCGTCTGAATGTTTGTCTAAGACCTGACGTACGGTGAATATTTGGTCTATACAACCACGTCCAGATCGAAAACCAGCCTGGTTTTCTCTAGTCTGCTCTTCACGAGCTTTGGTTAGGTGTCAAAGTATTATTGAAGCTAATATTTTAGACACTATATTAGTCAAACTGATTCCTCTGTGATTGTCACAAGAGGACTTTTGTCCTTTTTTATAGACTGGCACAATCAGTGATTGGGACCAGTCAGATGAAATTACGTCCAGTTCCCAGATTCTACCTAGGACCTCTGTCAATGTCACTGCTAGTACTGGACCTCCATCCTTAAAAATCCCAGGGGTAAACCTGTCAGGGCTTGCTGCTCTCTCTCGCTTCAAATTTCTTATAGCTTTCGCAACTTCTCAAGGACTTACATTAACTTGCCATTCAGGTCGACTGGAGATCGTGGGAAGCCGAAATGTGTCTGCTTCGGAGTGAGCATCACTTACATGGCTGCCTAACTTTTTTTCTGGTTACTCCTGAAATATATCCTTAGCTTGCCTGTCGTTAAGTAGAACCCTAAGAGGCTTCCTTGCAGCGTCTTTCCTACGTCCAATCTGTTCTTTAAGCCACGACACCATAAGATCCACACATGTATCTTTCTTTTTCGTTTAGTTTACCTAATTGAGCATTAAAGTCACCAGCCACTATTACTACATCAGAGCGTTTAGCTTTTCGGCAAAGGTCGGAAAGCTTTCTGTAAAACTCATCTTTTACATCATCTGAGCTGCAGTCAGTGGGAGAGTAGGCAGAGACGACGAAGAGGCAACGAGTTTCCCTATCTTTCCGAGTCCTTACTGACCCTTTTCGTCGGACAGCGCATAGACGACTGTCTACTGGGATCCAGTCTAAAAGAGCTAGTTCTGCCCTAGGACTCAATGCTATACCTACTCCAGCGAGGCCACGGGGAGCAGCATCAGGGTTTCCAGATACACGAAGTATGAATCGAGTTGGTTCTTTATTTTGACATGGTGTGATCAAATGAATGACGCTACTCGGATCTTGTATGGGCGTTTCGGAGACGCAGCACACATCAATGGTGCGAGATTCTATAGTCCGAGCTAAGGGAGCCTGTTGTCCTACGTGGCACAATGTTCGGACGTTGAAAGCTCCCACATGCAGTTTAGAGCGTGGTTTCAGAAGGCCAGAAATAACGTTCCGTGTACTCGAATCGTTTGCATTAGCTGCGTGAGATAATAAATGGACGTGTGAAGGGTTGGTTGTGGAGATGAGAGAGTTATTAGGAGGTGTAGGAAGGATTTGATTGTGACCAACTTTGTCTCGTGTGCTGTTCAGGGTATGAGGGCTGATATCACTTCCCGGCTGCCCACACCGTGAAAAGGGTATTTCTTGAGGAATCTGAAAAAGAAGTTGTATAAGTGTTAGTCATAACGACCTGGGAGCGTGCCCGAGGGCAACTGCTTGAGGCCAGTCACGCACGACCATTTTGTGGAAAGTTTTTTACGTGTTAGCTCCGTTCTTCAAAAGGCCTTACCGCCGGAGACGGAAATCCGTGAGGTAAGGTGAGGTATGTCGTTTTTAGGGTCGACCTTTTCTAACCCCTTCCTGCCTTGTGAGTAGGCAGCATCGCTGCAGATGCTGGTTGTCCGAGGGAAACACCTTACTGTTGTCACACCCTTTACAGTCAGCAGTACGACTTCGCCCTCAGACCTTGGTTTGCTTCTATTAGTCTCCAATCGACTTGCCTGGCATGGTAGGACCTACAGAAACATATGTTCCAGCCAATATAGCTCGGTTGGGTCATCACGATAGGCAAGCCTGACCACCATGTCAAGGTATCAGCTGCGGTCGGGATTGCTAGCTATACAAATTTAAAGCATGTTCACTGTGTTCAAAAGTTTTTGAAAGTATTGTTCTTGACTCTGCGTGACTCGTGGGATTCCATGGGTGTTAATGATGAGTGAGACTTGACATATTTAAAATATCTAGAGGGAAATATGTAGCGATGACCCACGTGTGATATGTGCTACAATCAAAACATTACTGCTTGTTTTCGTACTTAGAGATGACTTAGTGGTTGAACCACTTGGCTCTCGATCATTACGTCGCTGGTCTGAACTGTGTTTCACTTTTGATCTGGATGGCCGGGTAGTATCCTTATTTCTAATCTAAAACAGCTCGCAGGTGAATAAACAGTGATATAGTGAACCAGCCGGAAGTAGCCAGATGTGAGGGCCACTTGAGGACAACCACAAATGACTTGAACGATAACTGTATATTATTGTCCAAGAAACGGATTCATTTTCTAAGGGGAACAATCATATAGTATCTCTATCTCCAAACTACAAAGGTGCCTGTAACTGGTTGTGGAGTCGCCTTTTATTTTCCCATTTTGTTGCTTGAATTCGATCCCACTTTTGGATAGCGGGCAACACAGTCATCTTCCTATCTCTTCTTTGCAACCCCGTTGAAGTTCTTTCTTCCTTTCTGTTCCATTTGACTCATCAAACCGTTTTTTTACTTACAACTCAATGACCATGATCATCACCCATAGTTGGAACGGCAGTCCCTCATAGGTTTTTGAAGTCGGCTATTTACCTTAATTTGGAGTTCTCAAGCTTCGAATTATATCTGAATTAGGCAACAAGTCTCATCGATTCATCGGCTAAAACATCTAATCATGGATAAACCTATTTGTAGTTTCTCGTCAGACACCAATCATTTGTGAGTTTCGGTATGTCAGACGGAGGAATTGGAAAGAACAGGTAAATAATAGAAATATCGCTAAATAGTCCTGATCGGTGATGCGGTCTTGGATAATGGTCAGGGGGTATCATCAAGCGGCTGTAGAATTAGGTTTCAAGCTTGTCGGTGTTAATCAGAAAAGCCTATCTGGGGCCTCGAGGAAATTCATATTCTTTTAAATTTAAGTCTGTTTCATTTCTCTAGATCATTATACTCCCAAGATCACCATACTATTGTCCTAAAGTACATTTCTATATGTTTTTAACCTATTTTCACTTTAACGTCGTATATTTATACGTTTTCTCACAAAATATGTATACGTAAGGATGTACTTAACATGGTCTACACAAATTGTATTTCTATGTGTTAACTATGGTTGATACCTAAGTTTGAAAACTTGTTTATCGTCATGTATACCATACTCATTCAACTATTCCCAAAAACTTTTCATAATTATTTATGTTAACTATTTAGATTTGTTTTGGAGTTTTGTCATATTACACGTGGTGGCTTAGAAACTGTTATGAAACGACGTCAGTCGGAACTTACCCATAATCTAATTGTTTTCGCATTGCAACGCACCTTATCCTTCGAGGCCAGTTTGAATAAAGCATATACGTCTGAAGCGCTAGAAGAATCACAGTCTGTGATAGTCAGCGGTAAGAATATAGAGCGTTCATCTAATCCATTTGATGATAATGAGGAGGAGGAAGATGGTTTGGATGATGCACAATCTAAAAATTCTGCAGAGGCTAAGAATGATGAATCATCAACAAATGATTCTAAACACAATTGGAAAAAGCAGATTTTTGATGGAATTATATCTGGGTAAGTAAGTATATATCTTATCAGTCCATAATTTTGTATAGTTAAATACTGTTCAGGTTACTGGGGAAATCTTCAAAATATTGACTCGTCGAATATTTAACTTTAATTCTTTGAGTAAAGTAAATATACGGTATTGTTTTAACTTCGTTTCAGCGTTGGTGTGATGTATATTTGTAGGATTTTCCATATCATTACTTTATGAGTGTCATTTCACTAGTTATAGGTTGAAAAAGCTCAAATCCCTAGTTTATAAGATCAACGTTTTCAGAACTGATAAAGTGATTCATTCAATATATCCATGGTAAGTGAAGTTAAGAGTCTCTCCAACAAAGGTGATTGCTAGGTAAGAATTTAGTTTCATTTCATTTTTGGTGTGTACAGTCGTTATAAATAACTCACTGGCTTTCATATGTGTCAACATAAACACCTTAAATGTCGTGGTGTTAAAGGATTTAGGACTATTTAGAAGCTAGTTGCTGCCATTTTCAAAACGCTACAGATGAATCCTCACTTTAATGGAGAAAAAAAAGCATAAACTGTGATATTCGACATGGATATTCAAGTGCCTAGTTGGTGCTATAATGTTGTAAATGATTATGTGAAACGAATCATCGGCGAAATCCATCATGGGTTATATTTGTAACTTAATATTTGATAATATCTATAATGAGAAAAGCTGCGTTGTTTTCTTTTTCCAGTGTTTATTTAAAATGAGCACTGTCTTCAAAGTACATTCACATCTTTTTATAAATACCTGATTAAATGAGTTTAACTTATAACGTTTAGTAGTTTGGCACCACTAATAAATCATTGTTTCATCTCTCATTTAAACGCAAGATGAAATTAGTAAATTCAAACCACCAGTTGATTTCTTTCCTTTGTTATTACATCAACCATAATATTGTACACCATTATCTATCTTCTAATAGTTTATTAGTGTTGTTGGAGGATTACCGAGTCACTTTAGATTCAGAAAACAACACCTGGGTGTTGTAATTGTCATTGTGCCTGAGTTTGTTTCCACTCAATGATATCTTGTAATCCTGAGGGTTGCATAATATAGGTAATATTGTCACATTATGTTTTTTTGCCTAATCACTTTATGCATTTCTTATCCTGTTACTTTCCCTTTCTTCTTTTTCGTTATCCTTTCTTCTTTACATCATTCTTTTTGTCACCATTATTATTGTCAGTAAGGAGTTGTGGAGATTGTTGAATTTCATCGAAATCACAGGCCGATCGAAGTTAAACCACCATTAAAAACCTGAAAGTACTCGACGGTCACCTTGTTCTAGCATGGGACTCTTCAGCAGTAAGCATCCACAACCCCGCACGCGAAAGCCGAACCCAGGACCTCCGGTCTCGCGCACGGACGTTAGATGTGAAGGGTTTGTGTGTGAGGTCGAAGGTCCCGCGTTCGATTCCCGTGTGCGGGGACGTAAATACTCACTGCTGAAGAGTCCTATGCTAAGACGAGACGACCGTCCAGTGCTTCCAGGTTTTCAATGGTAGTCTAACTTCGATTGGCCCATGATTTCAATGAGATTGTTATTATTGTTATTATCATATGAAGATTTTATATCAGTTCTGTATGAATTATTGTTCATGTTCATTTCCAGCTGCTTCGACCAATTCTTTGACCTATATTTGGTTCATTTGGATAAAGGTCTGAGAGAACAGATGACGAACCGTTTAATTGGTGATTTCACTGTTAATAAATCAAGTTTGGAGAACAGAGATCTTGGAGATGTATTCAGAGATGGTAATATGTTACGAATTGGTGAAATATTACTCATATTTATCAATTTTATCATTAAGTTGTATGGTTAGCTTTTTTGAAATGCTTGCATATTTTCTGCAACTTGATATGATTTCGAAATTTTCACTTCAAAAAGTAGTTCATAGTATGTTTATCGAAGATGGAGCATTTTCTCGTGTCTGTGTACTTTACATACACAGAAGGTACATAGTTTAATTCAAAGGTACATAACAAATATTAATTTAAGCTACTTGTTTACACAGTAATTTAAGTAACATGTTTTCTGGATCTGATACTATCAATAGACAATAATTTCATTTGTTAGAAGTGTGGTATTTACGTAAAAAAACGTCCAGTCTATCTGCCTTTTTTCCCACTATTGATTTAAAAGAGAAAGTGTACATCCATTTGATTAAATCATAACAGTTATTCAACTGTAATTCCCAAATTTGACATCACTGGTCAGAGTAATATGATCTGATTCTTATTGTAGCGTTGGTATTTTTATTACTTGTATCCACGTTCGAATACATCCAATTTTTGTTTCTCTTGACTAAGAGGGAAAGAGAAGTACCCGCATATTCATCATACTGAACACAATTACTAGTTATTTCAAATTAATGTAGTTCAGTTTGGTGTTTGTGCTCACGTTTTGAAGAGTACACTATTCAGAAAGTGAACACACCTGTGGAAATTTCTTATGGAACAGTAAATTTATCCAGTTGACAGGAACAAATATATCAGTACATCCATGTATCTCCATAAATGTAGCTATTAGTCGTCAAGATCCTGTAAAAGACACCATCGCATATACCATTTGACATACTTTTCTTTCTATACACATTAGGCCAATTGATATCTTGATGGTTCTCACGAGACGGTTCCTATCCTTTCTTCTAAACTGGAGCGATCAATGTCTGAGATCAGTTATGTGGCATTAATTCCATTTTCTAGAATCTAGCTAAGACCTCAGTCAATCTGGCTTCTAAAACTTAATTATTATCCTTAATGATCTTCGGACCTAGTCTATCTAGTTGCGGTGCTGTTCGTCTCTTCAGATTAGCTGTGGCTTTTTCAACTTCAATAATAGTTTGGGGACTTGTTTTAATCTCCAGTTCTGATTATTTTGGAATACTAGATAACTGGGGGAGTTCTGGATATTATGTCTGTTTCGACTTTGTTGTGTCCTCGGTTTTCTTATATTTGGTAAAGGTAAGCCTTGTAATTCCCATGACGCGAAGTAAGGACACAAAAGACTGGTGCAATTAATATTTATTCTCTGTAGAAGTGGCTTACACTGAGTTATGAAATGTCGAAAAGTCTAATTTTTCTACTCATTAGGATATTACAAATATATTATTTACTTATAGCAATCTACCCAATGCTCCATGTATTTGAAATTATCAAGTCAAACCTTGGTAATGATATCTCCAAAAAAGTTCAAAAACCATCCTCATTAGACGAAAATTTATTCATTTATATAATGCAAAAGCATACATACTAAGTGTAGTTCACGTGAATTGACTCAGGAACTATAAATGTCACACTAGACCACATTCTACATCTACCATATTTAGCTGAGCTCATACTGAATCGATACATGAAATATTGACCTAAGATGATGTCACTTTTTTGTCCCGTCTGAAAAGTCTGTTATTACCTATCGCCTCTACCTTCATCCCTTTTGCTTCCGCTGCCCACCACTCCTCACGATCGTTTGATAGACTTTTTGTCTGTCTACGTCTAAGTTACCTTCGCCCCTAATCGTGTTCGGAGCATGATGGGACGAGTTTCTGAACATGTATCAGTTCAACAGATGTCACCGAAGTCCACTGATTTTGCATGATAGAAGTTTAATTCACACTGTTATTCTTCTGTTTCTGAAAAACACTGTTCAATATTTTAAAGCTCATATAACAACTATCTAGTTAAACTGTGAGGTCGTTTCATCACTATCACTGTACATTCTAGGCCTTTGAAATAAAACCATCTTATTGATTAAATTACATGTCGCTGAAGATATAAGAAGAGATGTATGTGCTAATCAGTCTTTAAAGATAGGTTTCAGTCTCCTTGTTTGTTACCATTCTGATTATTATAAGGTTGATAGCTCAATTAATCTGTGGATTTGTGTATGCAACTTACCTTTCCTTCCTTAAGATTAAACAGGTTTTTTGTTTCCTAGACCTATATTCAGAATCTTTATATAGATTTATGCCGTAATATCTCGTATCATAATTTAACTTATTTTTTGTCTATTGATTGTCTTTCAGACAATCCATTTGACACTGTACAAAGCAAACCAAACCCCAATGATCCTGGCGAGAATACTCTATATTCTGCTACAGATCTATTCCTGTTCTATAAACAAATATTAAAACAAACTCTCCAGTTAAACCGGGGTCATGGTTTGTTAGGACTTGTACGTCTTTTAAGACAGTATTTGTCTGAATACACAGTTCGTGTACTTTTAGCTCAAATTCCAGGCTTAGCGATTACGAGTAGCAGTGGAACTAACGTTGGTTTATCTGCGCCGGATGTTGCAGCGAAAATGGCGGCATTCGGTTTAAGCAGTCTCTCAGCTCTTGGTAAGTTTGTCGTACCTCATATTATTACGTAATTGCAAATCATAGGACTTGGTCGTGGTCAAACGGGACTCGGTGCAGCTCTAGAAAATATTAAGACACAAACAAAATCCAGTTCTGCGCAATCTGATCTGATAAGTTCATCAAACAACCAGGTGATTAACAATTTACTTCGTGATGATGTACAAGTAAGCTCTTATTTATCATTGTAGTGGTATATGTATGTTTTAAGTTATCCCGTTGTCTAATTAATAGTTTATACTATAAGGAATGTTTATTTATTTATTTATTTAAACACATATATATTGGTACAAGAAAGCACCAGATAAATATGCGCCGCACAAATCTCATTTGATTTGTGTGAGGGCTGTGATACTGCCCAGGTGCCCAGACTGAAACAGGTGGGTTTCTTAGGGGGCCACACCCGGAGCCTTTGACCTGAAGGTCTAGTCCACAAGGCAGTGGAGCATCGTGAGGAAATGCAGTCCCATGGTAGCCGGTGATCAACGGTTGATTCGTACGCCATTTGTTCCCTCAGGATACTGGAGCCCATGTGCACCATAAGGAATGCTTAGTGTTTATACTTGAAAGAATTGTTTGATGATAAGGTTTTTTGACAAAAATGTCAAGGGATATTTTTGTACTCTTTCTAAATGATGGATAATAGATAGAACTTTTTATTGAATTTCAACTTACATAGATACCAAATTATCAATCACTTACCTTATTACATTTTATAAGTAAAATAATAGTGAGTGATAGAAATAGTGAACCTGAAGAAAACCCTACAACAAAGTGAATGGCTCAGCAATTTAAGAAGGAATTACATGTCTACTTTGAGAGTAAATAGAAGTAATCACCTTAAGCAACAAAACCCTTTATTAAAGATCAAATTTTTAAGACATCATAGCTAGCGGAGACGTAATACACCAACCGAGTATACCAATTGAAATGAAGGTCCATTCAGTCAATCTGGATCAGCCTTGACAATGCGAATAAAAGATAAGTTATTGATAGTGGGTTAGGTGGTGCATTTATATTTTAATTGCTGTGTGCCTGGTTATATGAACCTTGCTCAGAACACCTTATCTCTGCATGTTCTTGCACGAGTGGCGACTTGACTGTGAAGTAACTAAATATGTTAACTGTATTATATTTTCCACGTGGATGTTAATGAACAACCTTACTGAGATGAATAAGACGACGTTTTATATCAGATTTCTGATAATTTTATAAAGAATATACTCGTATTCCTAATACGCATAATAAAAACCATAAGGATCACTCCTAGGGAATCCGATTTGTGTATCCATAAGGTAAATCTAGCCACTTTGCTTAATTTGGACTTCATTAGTCTCAAACCACTTTTAATCAAATTGCCTGATTCTACTACCACTATGAAATTAATTATGTTTTGCTAACGTTTTGTTTCTTTCACTACTGTCCTATAAGGTGTAAAGCACTTATACAATAATAAGAAAACGATATCTTCCAAGAACTAATTATTTGTCCCGCACTGTACACTTGTACCCAGAATATATATATATATATATATATATATATATATATATGTTTGCACCCGCATTCCTGAAATGCTTAATATTAGGGTGCTACCATAGAGTTCATTTCAAATGGGATTTTGGTCTATTGGTTACTTTAAATTCCCTAAAAATATCATTTTATCTCCGGTTTCTTAATCCAGATGGCTACTGCTTCAGCCATTTGAAGGACTTAGAGTCTGACAGGTTTTGGCAAAAAGATTACTGACCCGATAAATAATTGAAAAGCATTAGTTTGCACTGGCATTATGACCAGTTTGCATTAAATAGACCAATACCGAGCTGTTCACTTTCTTCACTCGACCTTTGTTTAGCCACACTTGGAGGTGTTCGCAAATGCAGATTCCTAGAATTTCGACCAATGTGACTTTCTTTACAAGGACAGTCAAACTGATAAATACAAAATGAGGTGGTGGTTTTAGGTAATTCGTTTTTTAGCCTCGGTATAACCATTGGGCACGTAGAAAACATTAATCGTAGTTCTCCGGCGTCGAATGATTTTTGGATTGTTCTGCTTAATCACTAAATTAATATTTCGCTAGCACCGTCCCTTCTGAATTGTAGGCGCATGAACAGGGATTTCTTATTTACCGTTTGAATGTCGCCTATTCTTACCTTCGCGATCACATATTTGTTTATAAAATTTTCAGAGTATCCGTCTTCCTTAAGAGTATTGCTCAAGACGTTTAGCTCTTCTTCAACTATATCCGTAGAATATCTAGTGTGTATTCAGTAAGTAAGAGTTTTGATCAGGTTTCCTTTGTACTGTAGAGGTACAAAGCTAAGGAAAGGTATCTACTGCCCTATCCAGGATTTTTTATGTTTAATTTCCTTCTTATTGATCCATTAGCTCCCTTGGTTAAGAGAACTTTTAGAGAGGCTAATTTACCTTCTTTCTCTTCTTCAGACGTAAACTTAATGACTGGATATACTACATTACATTACCCAAGAACCTCTTGAAGGATGAACGTGCCATCCATATATCGATAGTAAAATGCGAATTTCTGAATGATCTTTTTAAGTGGACCATTTTCTAGTTTGTCTGAAAAAATTTCAGGTAGTATAGAACCCATTGCAACTTCATCCATCTCTGTTGAACTAGAAACTCACATTCATGGTGCGTTTCAGTAATAACTCTTTTACGACATTGACATAGAAGTGTAGTTTCGATTTCATTTTCTCTAGGTTGTTCATATATATATTCTACAGTCTCCATGAGTGAAACATTTACGAATAATAATGCTATATCCAAAGACGTCATCTTTTGTTCCACAGTATTTGCATTTGCGATCTTATCAACAAATTGGAATACATCCTTAACACTGTTTTACTAGTGCAAAAGAAATATCTTCAACCGCTTCTCCTCCCTTGTCCAACCCCAAGGCCAATTAATCAATAGTAACCTTAGCTATTGAATGACCTAATTTGACTACTGTACTTATAACCTTTCTTAGTCTAATATAATTGTAATAGTTGAATTCATGAGTCAATGTGAGGTATACCACCATTGAAAACCTGGAGGCACTGAACGACCGTTTCGTCCAAGTATGGGATTCCTTAGTAGTGCGCACTACAATCTCCACAATAACCCCCATTCTGATCACAAAAATATAATTGTCTCGGTTATCTTTATTCACGTATTTTTGTATCACTATTATTATTATTATTGTTATTATTGTTATTATTATTATTATTATTATTATTATTATTATTATTATTATTATTATTATTACTATTAATCTCCCGAATACATGATTCATTTACTTCGCATTCATCCCACTTTATTATGTCTTACTATTTTTTTTCTACACATTATAGTCTTCCATTAAACATTTGATTAAGTTTGTAATTGCACTATTATTTCTCTCGCCCATATTTGTTCTGATCAGGGATCTTAAATTTTCACTTAACATATAAGCTGATTTAAGTTAACATTCTATATGAGTCATATCAGCATTAACAATTTTTTTATTTAACAACCCTAAATCCACATGCTATAACCTTAAATGATGCACTTTGCCATAAACCTGACCACTTTTCGGATTATTAATTTGGATATATAATTGTAGATCCTGGAAATAATTTATCAAAGAGAATATTCTTCGTTCATATATTAGTCTTTAAAAAAATATTTGTATACTCTGTAACTTCGTACGTCGTTTTAATTTCAATTGCACTATAAATCCTCCCAGATAATTTACGAGCAAGATCATATTACTCCTAATAATAATACGAACTTAATATTTTTATTCATCAGGGAGTTCGACTAAGTAAGGATGATGTCTACAAGGTGTGTGTCGTACTTGTTACAGCGGCATTTTGTCTGAAGACTGTTGAGGATTTGGAGAAGCGTCTAAAACATGAAGTAAGCTATGATCAGTTTTTTTCTTTTTCAATAAAGAAGCCTTGTTTATATCATTCTGTCTGCCAATTTTTAGAAACCATATCACAAATATCATTATCTTTGTGTTTTATATAGATAAAACTAGACTTTTGTTAATGTGACGTGCTAAAAAGTACTGCCATTTTAAATGAATTTTCAATTCTCATGAAATATGTGGTCATAAATCTCTCCAGACTTTAAGATCATAAATGGTATCCCGTATGTTTCATCCCTTACTTACTTACTTACTTACGCCTGTTACCCCTTGTGGAGGAGCATAGGCCGCTCACCAGCATTCTCCATCCAACTCTGTGCTGAGCCTTTCTTTCCAATTCTTTCCAGTTGCTATTCATCCTTTTCATATCGGCTTCTATTTCCCGGCGTAGTGTGTTCTTTGGCCTTCCTCTCTTCCGCTTCCCTTCCGGATTCCAAGTTAGGGATTGAGTCGTGATGCACATTGGTGATTTCCTCAATGTATGTCCGATCCACTTCCAACGTCTTTTCCTAATTTCCTCTTCAGCTGGAAGCTGATTTGTCCTCTCCCATAAAACGCTGTTGCTGATAGTATCCGGCCAGTGGATGTTGAGTATTTTGCGTAGACAATTGTTTATAAATACTTGTACCTTCCTGATGATGGTCGTAGTAGTTCTCCACGTTTCAGCTCCGTACAGTAGGACTGTCTTGATGTTCGTATTAAAGATTCTGACCTTGAAATTGGTTGAGAGTTGTTTTGAGTTCCATATGTTCTTCAATTGTAGAAATGCTGCCCTTGCTTTGCCAATCCTCGCCTTTACATCTGCATCCGATCCCCCTTGTTTATCAACGATGCTCCCCAGGTACTTGAATGTTTCCACCTCTTCCAGAGTTTCGCCATCAAGTGTGATTGGGTTGGTGTTCTCCGTGTTGCATTTGAGAATCTTGCTTTTTCCTTTGTGAATGTGGAGGCCTATCGATGCGGAGGCTGCTGCTACATTTGCGGTCTTCATCTGCATTTGTTCGTGTGTATGAGAGAGGAGGGCTAGGTCATCTGCGAAGTCCAAATCATCTAATTGATTCTGAGAAGTCCATTGTATTCCGTATTTCCCTTCAGATGTCGAATTCTTCATAATCCAGTCAATCACTAGAAGGAAGAGGAATGGGGAGAGTAGACAGCCTTGTCTGACTCCGGTCCTTACTGGAAATGTATCTGTCAGCTGTCCTCCATGCACCACTTTGCACTGTAGGCCATCGTATGAGTTTTGGATAATGTTGACAATCTTTTCAGGAACTCCATAGTGTCGAAGAAGTTTCCATAATGTTCTCCTGTCCACGCTGTCAAACGCCTTCTCATAGTCAATGAAGTTGACGTATAGTGATGAGTTCCACTCAACTGATTGTTCAACGATGATCCGTAGTGTCGCAATCTGGTCTGTGCACGACCGATCCTTACTGAATCCAGCCTGATGATCCCTAAGTTCAGCGTCTACTGCGTCTTTCATCCGATTCAGCAGCACTCTGTTGAAAACTTTTCCTGGTACTGATAACAAACTGATACCTCTGTAGTTCTCACATTGGCTCAGATCTCCTTTCTTTGGTATCTTGATGAGATATCCTTCTTTCCAGTCCGTTGGCACTTGTTCCTCTTCCCAAATCTTCTTGAATAGAAGGTGAAGCATATTTGCAGTTATTTCAATGTCTGACTTCAGTGCTTCTGCTGGTATATTGTCAGGTCCTGCAGCCTTCCCACTTTTGATTTGTCTGATGGCCATCTTGACTTCTTCGATCGTTGGTGGAGTGATATCTATTGGAAGGTCAGTGTGGGCTGCTTCGATGTTCGGTGGATTCAATGGGGCTGGTCTATTCAGCAGTTCCTCGAAGTATTCTGCCCATCTTTTCTTCTGTTCTTGAATCTCAGTGATTGTCTTTCCTTCTTTGTCCTTGACTGGTCTCTCTGGTTTGCTATATCTCCCTGCCAATTTTTTCGTTGTATCATTTAGTTGTTTCATATTCCCTTCTCTTGCAGCTTTTTCCGCCGCCGTTGCTAGTTCTCCCATGTATTTCTGCTTGTCGGCTTTAATGCTTTTCTTCACTTCTCTGTTTGCTTCTGCGTAGTCTGCTTGTGCTTTGACTTTCTCTGCTCGTGTTCGGCTGTTGTTAATTGCTAGTTTCTTGTTCTTCCTTTCTTGAATTTTGTCCAGGGTTCCCATAGAGATCCATTCCTTGTGATGATGCTTCTTAGGACCAAGAACCTGCTGACACGTTGAAGTTAGTGCTTCTTTTATCCCTTTCCAGTTGTCCTCCAAAGTAGTTTCTTGTTCTTTCAGTAGATCCTGTAGAGCTTGGAACCTGTTGTTGAGAGTTATCTTGAATTCATGGAGCTTGTCAGTATCTCGAAGGAAGGCTGTATTAAACCTTTGTAGTGCTGTTTGTCCAGTTGTCTAGTCTTTCTTTAGCTTCAGTCTCATCTTGGCCACAACCAGGTGGTGATCTGAAGCTATGTCAGCTCCTCTCCGGGCTCTCACATCTTCCATTGATCTTCGGAATTTTTTGTTGATACAGATGTGATCAATCTGGTTCTCTGTGGTGTGGTCCGGTGAGATCCATGTAGCTTTGTGTATACGTTTGTGTGGGAATATTGTGCCGCCTATAACCAATTTGTTGAATGCACATAGGTTTGCAAGTCTCTCTCCATTTTCATTTCTCTCTCCTAATCCATGTCGTCCAATTACATCTTCATATCCTGTGTTGTCTACCCCAACTTTAACATTTAGATCTCCCATCAGGATTGTGAGGTCCTTTCGTGAGCACTTCTCTATAATTGATTGCAGCCTTTCATAGAACTGATCTTTATCATCGTCGTTGCTATCATTAGTGGGTGCATAACATTGGATAATGTTCATTTTGATCCCTGGCTTCTTTGTTCTGAATGATGCTTTGATTATCCTGGGTCCATGAGATTCCCATCCCACAAGTGCATTTCGTGCTTCTTTGGACAGTATTAGAGCAACTCCCTGAGTGTGTGAAGCATTTTCCCCTTCGTGACCGGAGTACAGCAGCATCTCTCCTGTACCTAGCCTTTGTTGTCCAGTTTGTGTCCAATGGGTTTCGCTGATTCCGAGTACTGCCAAGTTGTATCTCCTCATTTCCATTGCTATTTGGCTGGTCTTTCCTGTCTCCCACATTGTCCGGACGTTCCATGTTCCTATAAAGAGTGTTGCTCTGGTTGTTAGAAGGTGCATCGGTCTCGTGACTTCCGAAGAATTTCGACTTTCATCATGAGACGTCATAATTATTCCTTCAACTCCCAGGGCAGAGTTTAAATGGTTTGAATTATTTTTTCTGGTTAGCGTTTTTTTTAGCGAGTTAGCTTTTCTACAGGATGGGGTCGCTAACCCCATACCCAACCCTCCTTCTTTACCCGGGCTTGGGACCGGCAGTAACTCACCTAAAGAAAACCGATTGAGTAACAGATAAGCTTTGACTCAAGGTATATGAATCTATTAGTGTAAGTTTACGCTTAATGCATAAGCAACCCTCAGCTAGCCAGGTTTTCAGTTATATCATTGTGGTTAATGGTTTCTTGCTTAATGATTAGAACTGTCGGTTGAAAATATAGATGAAATTGAAGACCTTAGGATAATATACTAATGAGTAATCTTCAGTTTTCTTTAATTGCATTTTTAGACAACGTAAAATCGGTGGGATCATCTCAGCTATTCATTGAAGGTAGAATATTCGTTTGTTGATCCCGCCCTATTATTGCAGTAGGAACTTGTAGTTCTACGTGTAGTTCTACTGACCTTAATTAAAGATTTTCTCAGATGAGCTGACTTAGCGTTCGGATTCTTTCGTTTGAAGTAGTTTATGAAGTTTTCTGTTTTACACTTGATTTTTACATCCTGGGGCTTTTCATAGTTCATTGAATGTACTTTGTATGCTGTTAGATTTCTTATTATAAAAATAGGTGGTAAACAGTTGTTTGTAATTTATTTACTAGGCGATTATGTGTCCTATTTCGATCTCATATGAGTAATAGTCGTGTTTATCAATTGTTACGTTCTATTTGTCATGAAAATCATTTGTTTACTGATTATTATATTAGATCAGACCACCTAGCTGGGGTTCAAAAATATCATTTGCTTCTGAACTTGATGGCTTAGCAACTTGTAGATCTGTTTGTGTCCACCGCCTGGTCGCAGACTTGGAAGCTGGTGTTGAACCTCAGCTAGTCGCTATGGCACGTTTACCTTGGAATAATCTTGTACAAGTTGGAGACCAAAGCGCCTATGTTACAGCCATTGTAAATCATCTTCGCACTCAAGTTCCGCTGATACGAGAAACATTGTACACCGTCAGGTAATTTTCTATTTTCTATATGTGTTAATAACGTTTTTGTCACATACAATCGTCTTATGATATATTTTTATGCATTATTAGGCCAGCTTTTACTCAAATATGTATAAAATTTGCTGATGCATTGATTGCGCGATTCGTTAATGCCTTATATCGTTGCAAACCGGTCAATACTTTTGGAGCTGAACAGCTTTTATTGGATACCCAGTCGTTAAAGGCTTCTCTTCTTCAAATGCCTCTTCTTGGAGCTAAGGTAAGCTAATATTCTATGTTGTTTTGATTATATTTATAATTATGGACTACGGTACCATACCAACATTCCATTGTCTTATGCCAATGGCATGAATGATTTGCTGTGTTTTCCCCCATGTACTATTAACTAACTAGTTACGACGGACTCACCCGACCATTCCTGCTACCTTGACGTGGTGGTCGGGCTTGCTCATCTTAATAAACCAATCGCGCTATACTGGCTGGAACAATCGTTCCTCAAGGTTCTATCATGCCAGACAGATCGGTTGAAGAGCGGTAAGACTAAAAGCAGTAAACCCTTGTAGTCACTAAAGACTGGTCTGAGTCATGTTGGTAAATGCAAACTACTTGGTTGGGGTCCGCGCGACTATCGTAACCAATGGTTGGAGATTGTGTGTGATATGGCTCATAATCGATCACAATGGCGTAGGTGTATACACTCTTTATCTCCCCTTAAACGGTAAGATTAAGATTACTTTATACCTTTCTTTCTACGAAATAATTCTTCCTTCCTGTGTTATATCCTTATGCACAATCTTTTTTTGTATATTAATACCATTGAAGTAACTACTTCTATATGTTTGGTGTTCATATTGTTGTGCTAATGAGGTGTAGCAACTTGGACCTATGCATATATGGGCCTGGTCCCACGTTGTAGCTAACTGACTTGCTGAACTAACCATGAGTCTACTTTCTAATCGTTTTATGTTTTGCAATTAACAGAAGACATTAAACTATAAAACACCACCTCGTGATTTTCTTATAATTCCGAATGCTAACGCCCAACGTATAGATATCACATTCGGTGACTTCCCAAAGTGTAAAAACATTTTATTATTACTTTCCTTTTTAGTGGCCAGTGGATCTGACTCTGATTTGGATGGACGTATGTATATACCATGCATATAAATCTTTCATTTAACTCGGTATATTACACCTAAACTAACCCCGTTTGTCCGACGGCGGTAATAAGAAGCTAAATACGGGTTAAACAGGGTTAATTTATTTCAGGGACTTGTTTGTTCAGATAGACATTAAGGATAAATAACGGAAAGGCAAAGCGAAGTAGAGAATGCAAGTGTGCCAACTCAATTTGATGAAGCGTGACTCAATATTTATGTCTAGACAAAAATAGGCTAATGACATGTAATGAATTGGGTAAGCGATACACACTTTTACGTACTAGACACTGCACCTTCAAACAAGTCTTCAGAAGCTGGAAAAGGCGTTGAGCAGAAATTTGCCGAAATTACGGGTTTCTTGTCTAACTAATTCATGGATTTGTTTATTGTGATAAATATATCTACACAATCTTTTCCCTCAGTGTTGTGTTGAAAATCAATTTTAGATGTCCTACATTTTGTTTAAGTCTCCTTACTATTCAATATTGAGATATTTGTATTTAAAAATTAGTCTAAAAGCTTTTAATTTACATTATTTATAGTTTACTCAGACACCTCCACGAAGCTTTACAAATCTAGTTCATGAAGGTATGGGGAAGGCGGAACGTATAATCAAAGCCGTTATGTTACCAGTCGGTGTCGCTACACCAGGAAAACAAGAGTCGACAACTCCTCCAAGTGGATTTGTAATGGGTCCAGTCGATACAAATGCAGCTAATGTATTTTTAGCTAGTTACGAACAATTATTACCTGATCTAACTCAAACCGATCTACAAAATGTTTTAGATATGAAAGTAAGCAATATAATCGACAACTTATTGTTTTCTGAAAATACTAAATAAATGATTATATTCCTCAATCATTTACTATTTTCAAGTGATATTTACAGGAATACCACTGAATTTAATAGTTCACTGTAATTTCTTAAACTAGTCATATTATGCGCTCCATTGGCGAAGAAACTTGACTTAGATCCTTTCTCAAAACCGATATTCAGTAAATACTGAAAATAAATACTATCGAGCGGACATTAAACTGGTATGGCAAAATAGATACTTGTCCGTAAGCATTACTGCTGTTAGGTTCTCTTCTCTGGTGACATTTTTCAAAACGATCGTGACATAGTGTTAGACGATAGCAGAACCGACCACTACTTTGCTATTAGTTGAAGAATCAACCGAAACAGGAGTACACAAACCGAAGCAGACACCCGGTCAGTATCCTAGCCCTCACAAAAATCGAATGATTTATGTGGCGCATATCTGTTTGGTGCCTCCTTGTACTAATATTTATGTGTTTAAATAATAATAATAATAATAATAATAATAATAATAATAATAATAATAATAATAAAGAATCAACCATTCATATATCATAATATGAATTGATTAGAATTCATAGTCATGTTTTGATCATGGTTTTTGTCCATTCAGTCCAATAGTGTTTCCTTATTTTGACGTTCACGGAGTTACGATTTGTAACATGGTTTTGTAAGCATTTTCCGTTGTAATCACCTGAGATTCGTGTTGATCAGTTACCAGTCTTTGCTGTATTTTATTTGTTGCTAGCTTTGTCACCGTTTAAATATTGGTGTGGAATTGTAATAAACAAAAGTACCGATTAATTCAGCATATTTAGCGAATTCGAATTCTAATATATATACTCAAAACAACAGTGTGATTATAGACAGTTTTTTAGATATCGTCTTCTATCTTATCAATCGATTGTTTGTCTACCGAACGCGGCATAACTCCGTAAGGAAGTCCAGTTGTTGGAGCACCACAAGTCAATAGGCCATTTTGAAAGATGACAATGACCTTCTGCTTATGGAACTGACTGAGTTGTTTGCAAACGTTTGGCAAATAGAGGGTGTACCAACATCGTGTGATGAGATGAAAGTTACCCCTATTCTTAAAGGGGGTTTACTTCGTCTGTGCCACACTTCTCGGGGAATAAATCTACTTTCGATTGCTTCCTGTCATCATATTGTTAAAATCCCGTAAAAGATCGACTTGTGAGGACCAGGATGGTTTTCGTCCTGATCGAGGATGTATCGATCGTGCCTTCACACCTCACCAAATGTTAGAAAACTACCATACTTATTGCAAGCCAACAATAGTAGGGTTTTTTGATATTAGGGCCGCCTTCGATTCGTTGGACAGGACTGTTTATTGAAGGGTGTGCCTGAGTTCATCAACATTTTCAATGCCCTGCATACTAACACATCAGAGTAAAGGCACACAACTACCTCTCTTCAATGTTTCATTCAAGCAGTATGTTGAGGCATGGCTGCCCGATCTCACCATTCATCTTCAACTTTGCTATCGATGACGTTCTGGAAACAGATCTAATGAATGTAGGCAATGGTGGTGTACATCTGTGGCCTGGAGAAAGACTTCTCGACCTGGTATATGAGGATGATATTGTTTTCCTGTGCCATGATATCCAAGCCTTGCAATTCTCACCTAACCAGTTGGCAATTAGTGTCCGTACGTATGGTATGTGCTTTGTACCTTCGACGTGCATCTATATAATCCGCTTCTTTACTGTTGTATTCTCTAAAACAAGTGTCATCACGAACTTCCCAGTTAAAATCTTTCATTTTATTAGCAAATTAATTAATTAATACTATTCAGTTTTTTTTCTTTTAGGGTGTGAAATCCAGTGAACAACAGTTGATTTTGGAAATATTTCGTAGTAGAAATGAATTTAAGTCAGCGATGAAAGAAAAAACACCTGAAGTAACTTCATTTTATTCTGTTGCTGATACTGCTATCACTACTAGCACTATTGTTACTACTGCGACCAGTAACGTAGCTTTGACAGGGATAACGACAGTTACCATGACCACCACTGCTCTTACGAGTTCTTTTGTAGCTACACCGAACTCTCCAAATAATCAACATAAAAAAATGAAGCAGTCTGTATCGATCTCAATGAATCCCTTCGATTCACCTTCGCCAGTAGAAGAGCGGGAGCAAATAACAGATAGGAAAGGAAGAATGGAAAAGTTATTGAATAAAAGACGATAAGACTATTACTGAATTGTAATTGTTTAGTGTTAATTTCAATGAATAATTAGTATCTTTATTGTTGCTTGAACTTTGTTTATTTTTTCTCCACTCGGTCGAATTTATTCCATCCTTCTCCGTTTTGCTATGTTAAAACTTTCACTTGTCGAATTAACTTTTTTATTGGTGTGTATAATTAACATCCTCTCTTTCTCTCTCTCTCTCTCTCTCTATATATATATATATATATATATATATATATATATATATATATACGAATCATTCATACTACTATGATAATATATATATTACTGTTATTACCGGTTTAAAAACGTTGTACCTGGATGTTTTTTTCGTATCCTACTTCCTTTTATTATTTGTTATATTACTTACTAGCTATATTGTGATAAAATGTTTATAGGCAACTTTCTCTGTATTTTTGTTTCTGTAACATTATGGTATGGATTGAAATACCAGTTTGTTTTCTGACAATTTTCTCAAGAATATCATAATACATATCTACTTAGTGAATCGGTAGTTATGGTACTGTTAAATTGGTTGCTAATGTTTATTTTACTGTACTTAATAAAAACTAACATTAAAAGGGGATTTTTGTTTGTCATTCACTTAACCTTATTTTAACCAAGTAATTTAGGGCCATTTCTCCTTTATTAGCTTAAGTAGTATCAATATTGGTCTATGCAATTGTGTTACTTTGAAATTTTGAGTATCTATAGCACTGGTTTCTTTACATCTTGTAGAATATTTTCATATGTCCTGGTAAATGTAGTTCACTTTAAGCATAAGTAACTGAAGAACTATTAAGTCAGGTGACTCACCGTACTCATGTTCGAAAAAGAATACTTTGTACAGCTAATTTCCTTCGTTTTCACAGGGTATAGGGTGAAATCGGAAATCTCAGGAGTTTAAAAAATATGCTATGTAGTTGCGTCAGTGACCTTTTAAAGTTGTAAAAAACTTATTTTAGATGATGATTTCCAGCTGATTTGTATAAGCCATCTCTCGAATCGGTAACAAACACATAAACATTCATAGTATTCCATGCGTTGGGTTTTTTTTACCTGTAGATTTCACATAACATTTGTTGATCAACAGACAGCTTATTGTAGTACGATATGCTTTTTTTCAGAAGTGTGTTACTTTGGCTTGAATAGTATAACAATTGTTCAATACTTATACCACTGCATGTGAAGATTTTTAGCTCATCAATTTTATCAATATCATACAAAATAATTTGTCAGGATGTATCCAGTACTCTAAAGGGACTTTCAATTTATAAATGACATTAACTAGATGTTCAATTAAATCATTTAAAATATTAGGATATTTTCGATGTAAAATTAAACCTTAATTATGTAACATCAGTAACTCTCTGAAGCCTATAGGAAAGTAATTTTCATGAACTCTTGATAAGTGTCTATGGAGATTTGTATATAGGCAGACCCATTTGTACACTGTATATAAACTCACTTTTTCCACTGATTAGTTTTTAAACTTCTGCTTATATCCTAAAACTAAAAACTGACTGAGTGAACTATTTTTGATCAAACGATAGGACTTTATTTGGTGGTAGATTGTTTATTTGTTAAATTCTGTAAGTTTTATTTTTCCAGACCTGAGGAATACTGGTTATGAAGTTTGTCAGAGATTAGTCATCATTACTTAAGTTATGTATTCGAAATCACGAATGCTAGACGTAAGCATAATCCAACTAGAAAAGAAGAAGGGATTTCTATTATTGACAAGTTGGATATTCGAAGCCTTAGTAAACTGTCAAACAATTCCCTTATCTATATCTTCACATATCGACTAGTACTTTACTAATATCAGAAGGGGTTTTGTGGAGATTTCGGTAATTTTAATAGTTGAGATCATTAGTCAATTGAAGCTAGACCACCATGGAAAACCTGGAAGCACTAAACGGCCGTTTCGTTCAATTGTTGGACTCCTCAGCAGTGCGCATCCACGATCCCACCTCGCGAGATCTGAACCTAGGACCTGTCGGCCTTGCACGCGAACGCTTAACCTCTAGACCACTTAGTTGGCCGGCATCCAATGGTATTTATGTCTAACTTCAACCGATCCACGAAATTGAGCTACTTATTTATCATTGTCTTCAGTGAGTTACTATCTTACAACAGACCTGGTTGAACTCCACTGGATGCCGGCTTAGCGGTCTAGAGGTTAAGCGCTCACTCGCGAGACTGATAGATCCTGGGTTCGAGTTTCGCGAGGCGGGATGGTGGATGCGCACTGCTGAGGAGTCCCACAATGGAACGAAACGGCCGTCTAGTGCTTCCAGGTTTTCCATGGTGGTCCAACTTCAATTGACTCATGATCTCAACTATAATTACTTTATTAGTATATGGGAAGCATTTAGTCTCATGGGTGACAAGCCGGCTCTGGCGCTTGTATTAATTACCCAATAAGCGTGGATGTATATGCCTAAAGTGCCTACTGTGTACCGATACTTAGTTGTTTATTAGCCAAAATCTATTATTACAGAATGTTGAGTCCGTGTCTATGGAAAGTTAGGTATCAAAGGAAACATGTCTGTGTCAGAATAACCTGATAAATGAATATTTAAGATCAGTTTCAAAATATAGATGATTAGAAGTAAATATTAATGAAATTCATGGGAATGTGATCACAAGTAACCAATATGATTACTTAGTGTTGTCTACACATTTAGTGATATTTTCAGTCGTAATTTTAATTCCGTTCACTGGTTGAAATATGATTCGCTGGATCAGTACCCCAGCGTTTATTTTGAAGTTTTTACATCTGAACAGCTTCATAATTATTGGTAGACTCCTGCTAAGAAAACTGATGATAGTGAGGTTTTTGAAAATTCAAGTTTGAACACTACATAAGTATCATATTTTCATTTGTCATGATGATAAATTATTGCTCAAACAACCACATATTGAACACATTCTTTAGTATAACTAAAGGCAATGAATTACTTTCTAATTATATGTGACGCTACATCATTGTTTCAGTTATCAAATAAACAAGTCATCGTCAAGTATGGGAACATCAAAAAACTTTTCAAGTTCCATTTTTATAAGATAAATTTGTTTGAATTCCGGTACTTTCACGTAAAGAAAATGTTTTATGCATATCATGTTTAAAATGCCACGAACATATGTCAGTGAGAAAACTCTCTTTTAATTTAACTAGAACGTGACTGATAATTTATTTATAGTTAATTTCGTATCATACAATACGTTGTTTACCAAGACTGTTCTTGAAATTCTTGACATCATGTGGCTTGCTGAAGCAAAATAATAAATGCTTGCTATATCCACAAGATGACATATCGCCAATATTCTGTTAGTTTTCTCAAATCTACAATCTAAATTAATGCAAAGGAGAGTTCTGATAATTTTCAAGTCAAGTGTAAACTAGGTGAATTTCAATACAAAGCCATTATTTTACTTAGAATTAAGACTAACAGTTCCTTTCAAGTGAAATTTTTTCTGCTGAATGGAAAAACTTGGGGTTGACGTATGGTCAGAATTAAAAGTGTTTAATTTGCCAAGTTGATAGCAGTATAGTAAGGCACCATAAATGTCTTCATATTTCTGTTCCCTGTTGTTTTTTTTCACTTCTAATACACTTACAACAATGAAAACTTTCTTATTTTCCCTGATCAGAATATTGTCTTCATGCATGTATTAATGGTGTACATACACTAATGTGTATTTATGTACGGTTGCTATTAAGCTGCGGTTAAAAATTGACTATGAGGAAAACCGTTTTTCCTAAAATTTTTAGCTGTATGTGATTTATCTCGGTAGTTTTCGAAAAATTGATTATTCTTCAGTGATATGTGTTGTATCCCGTGGAGAACTATGAATGGTAACTTTGAGAACTATTTATGGACCAATGTGATATGTATAATTGTTAAGTAACTTAACTACTCATATTCATGTTCCTCTTATTATAAGCTTTATTTTGACTTATAGACTATTATTATACGATTTACCATTCTTGAGTTATACCCAGTCTATTCATTACTGTTCCCCCTATTCACAGCCACATTTGGCCAAATCTTGTACAAATGTTATTTTCTATTTTATGGTACGATGTGGTCTGTTTGATTGGTATGTAAATTCAGTATGTTTGAGAATAATGATTCATAATGCAGAAGCTGTTATTGGTATTTTGGACTTAACTGGGTGGGGTAGTCAGAAAGCAGGACTGATAAGTACTCAAGACAGCTCATACGATTCTGTGTATCATTGGGCGATCGATAAATTCACTGCTTTCCGATTGAGGGGTCATATCATTCATATATCAAACAGGGCACTCACGCACGTAATCGATATAACAACTGGGCACTCACACACGCAGGCAATCGATATAACAATATGGCAGTGCACTATGATAGACCTATGAAACTTTAATACCATACCACCGATAGCAAGGTTGAATTCTAAACTTATTATTGTGGATAAATTTAGTTAAGTCCTAAGAATATTTAAAATTTTCCTTTACTGAATTAGAACACAGTGGATGTACTGAGTTGTACTGAAATTTATCAGAAGTGTTTGAGAGCATTTTATTATAAGTTATCAAGTATATTCCTTAAGGTAATGAACTGATTGTCATGGTCCCATTTATTTCAGAAAAGTTCCTCATAAGATTTTATACAACAGGATAATCGTATATAGAGGCATTAAAATATGATAATAAATATTCGGGAATTGTAGACTAAAATGCTTTATTAATATGACTGTAACTGGAAAACATAAATGAATGAACTTCCTATTAATTTTTTTAGTAACTCTCATAAAATAATAGGTCCAGTTACATGCAAACAATAATAAAATGTAGTGAAAAACATACTGATTTAGTAAGTACGCTATTAAAAGACAAAACCATCACATCTGTCAAGATGTGAAAGGACAGGGTTATTGGTTTTATGGAATCACCCTAACCTAGTATCGGATTTCCATGGCAATGCAACTTCAGCCGACTTCTGAACAATAAAAATAAATAACTTATATTTTTATCAGAAGGGGTTTTGTGGATATTATAGTAATTCTAATAGTTGAGACAACGAGTCAATTAAAGCTAGACCACCATGGAAAATGTAGGACGAAACGGTCGTCCAGTGCTTCCAGGTTCTCCATGGTGGTCTAGCTTCAACTGACTCACGATCTCAGCTATTAAAATTTTTATTTTTATAGAACATTTATTATAAGGTTGATACCAGTAGTAGTTTTGTGTTAATGCTTCTACGTAAAGAATTGGTAAAAAATATCCACTTCGTGGAGGCTAACACTGATAAAATCATACAATTAGATGAATTATGTATTTAAAAGTGATAAAGATTTACAGATTTTCGATGGTGGTCTACTCTAGGTCGATTTGTGGTTTCAATTGATGGAATTTGTCTACAAAACCAGTGGTATGTTTCGTATTACACTTGGAAAGCCTGATGTAATATGAAATATCATCGACATATAACTTGTTTGTAACTGCCTGATGGAATTTAACACCTGGAGTTGTGATAAGAAAAAGTCATGAATCATCAAATCAGTTCGAATCATGTAGAAACGAAATAGACAATCATTTGTCATTTAAATTAGAATTCATACATGAAAG